CGTGAACCTGGGAGGTGGAGCTAGCAGTGAGCCGAAATCATGCCACTGCACTCCAGTCTGGGTTACAGAGCGAGACTCTGTCTAAAAAATAATAATAATAATAATAATACCATCTAGAAACCAGCTGTATCATAACAAGATAAATAAAAGACAGAGTGTGATGGTTAATTTTACGTGTCAATTTGACTGACACATTAAGGGATGCCCAGATAGCCGGTAAAACATTATTTCTGGGTGTGTCTGTGAGGGTGTTTCTGAAAGAGAATGGCATTTGAACCAGTGGACTAAGGTAAAGAAGAGCTGCCTTCGTCAATGTGGGCAGCATCATCTAATCTGTTGAAGACCTAAACAGCACAAAAAGACAGAGAAGGAGTGAATTTTCTCTCTCTCTCTCTCTTTTTCTCTCTCTCCCCCTCTCCATGAGCTGGGACACCCATCTTCTGCTCTGAAATACTGGAGTTCTTGGCCTTCTGACTCTGAGACTTATGCCAGCAGCTCCTATTGTTTCGCAGGCCTTTGGACCCAACATGAATTACAGTCTGAATTCGTAGTTCTCCATCTTGCAGATGGCATACGATGGGACTTCTTGGCTTCCATAACCATGTGGAATTAATTCCCATATTAATCTCCTTATATCTTTATATGTATATCCTACTGGTTCTGTTTCTCTGGAGAACCCTAACTAATACAGAGAGTGAGATGTTTATCATTAGCAGAAAGGCCTTGTGACAGGTATACTATTGTCCCTAATTATTTGCTGCTACTCTCTGTGAGAAGACTATACTTCTCCACCCCACTGATGGCAGGTTTGGTCACATGACTCGATTTGGCAAGTGAAATATGAGCAGTATGCCACTTGCAAACAGAATCTTTGAGAGCCACTGGTAATTCTTTGCTCTTAAGACATTTCTTCAAAAAATCTTCTCTAATGATTTCCTTATGCAGGGCAGAAGTCCCTGTTGGACTTGACTGGACTCTTCTTGAGAAGGTTGCAAAGATAAGCTAGTAGTGTGCTTAGCATTTCACTTCACAATGTGGGAGCACGGCATCCTCAACTTTGGTTTTCAGTCAACACAAACTTACACACATACACACACACACACACACACCCTCATACATATTTATATTTATATGTTCTAGACTGTTGAGTAAATTCCCTGTCTTTTGTTATCTTCTGTGAGATAATTTAACTTCTTAATGCAGTTGGAAAATGTGGTGCAAATAATACTGTCGTAAATGAAAGAACTTCATCAACCTCCAATTAGAAGTTGAATAACTATGTGAACAGCATAATAAAATAGCCCATTTCAGTAATCTACAACAGAAATTAGTTCAGGGAAGACTTTATTGAAAGGATAAGACTAACAAGCCCTAATTAAATGCATTTTTAAAATATTTCCTTCATTTCCGGACCAACACTGTCCAGTAGAACTTCCCGCAATGATGGAAGGATTCTACATCTGTGCTATCTGATATGGTAGCTACTAGCCACATGTGGAGTACTTGAAACGTGGCTAGTGCGGCTCTGAAGATGAATTTTAAATTAATTTACATGAAATTAGTTTACATTTAAATTTATATAACTCCACATATGACTAGTAGCTACTGAATTAGACAGTGCACCCTAGAGCCTGCATTGAAAGAGTATCTTTTCCTAATAACTGAAGTGTTCTTTATGTTACTATATTTGGAACTGAGAAGCTTATATGTATGTATATGTACAAGCTTATATCCATATACATATAGACTTCTTAATTGTATGCACACACATCCACATCCACACACACACGCACACCCATGTCTATATCTTTCTAGTTATCTAGTTAGGCAAGTACCAGACAACCTTGCCCTTTTTTGTTTAGGCAACCATAGTATGCCACTGCAGAGCCAGGAAAGTATTTCCTGTTTTGTTCCAGACTTCCAGGGAGTACGGGTACTCCCATTGGAGATCTAATCTAGCTTTAGGGAGAAAATCTTACAGAAAAGTATTTCTTCAAGATGAAATTTGCAAAAATGTCGTACCACATTTTAGAATCATAAGTCAAAGCTGTTCTTATTCAATCCATCCATTGATCTAGAAAGAACTATTCCCAAATTATCCTGACAACTTACAATACTGTATTAACAAATCTCTATAATTTAGTTCCTCATCTTTTTACCAGAAATTAGTTCTTCAAGTGACCAGATTTTAGTTGCCCCAATCCTTATATTGAAAATGAACTATATTTTTATTTCACTGTATAATTAAAGGAGTTTATGTACCTCATTTTAAAGGAACACCACTGCAAAGGTATGATGTTCTGAAATCTGCTGTAATTATAAGAACATGGGATTTGGAAAATACTTTGGGTTGTGAAGATGTAATTATTTGGGAAGCCTGGAAAGTTGGAGGCAGGTCTACTATCAGGGACATTTAGACACTGATGGTCTTTACTATGTGTGGATATGACCTTCCTGGTGGACTTTCTCAGGAAGCAGAGACCAGGGAAATCCTTGTTAGTCAGGCCATATTGGTCCTGCCTCAGAGAGTTTCTTTTGTCTTGGCTGACTAACTAAGACATGTAATCTATTCTTAATGTGGGTGTGGTGTGTTCTTTTTCACTTCATTATAGAGCATCAGAAAGACCTGATTTTACTTCCTAGTGTCAATGTGAGAATTAATTCATCTATAGGATTTAATATAGCAACTAATATCCTGCCATCAATAAATAACTACTGATTTTTTAATTGAGTTTTAAAACTAAAATGTAATTTTAACTAAAGAACAGAAACACTTCTAAGAAGCATACGATCTTTTGGAATAAAGTAAAGGGCTATTCATTAGAAAAAGACAAAGCTATACCAAGCATACTGACAACAAAGCCATCCCCAAAAGTAAGATTTTAGTTTTCTATTAAAAAGTAGAATATAATGGAACAACTCAGTTCAAGATCAAGCTCCTTTCTATGGATAAGGTAGGCACTAACAGCATTGACCTTTATTAATATGAGAAAAAGAAATTAATGAATATAAAGCAGGAAAGCTGAGACACTCTGAGGTTTCCATGAACTGCTTATGATTGCTCACATGCCAGACTCTGGAATATTTCCCATATTTCATCTCTAGTTTCCCTCAGCCCAGCTGAGTGTAATTAATAAAGCTCTAAGCACCTGCAAGAAGCTCCCAGAAGCTACGGAGAAGGTAACCTTCTCTGTAGGCTAGTGGCAGAGAATGCTAGTTATCAAGTCTTACCTCCATAAAGGAAGTAATGCCGTCAGTAGGATTAGTCTCAAATAGTCATTGTGACATCTTTCACTTGGATTTTTCTCAACTTAGAAACCAGGTTTTGAAAATGTTAGTACACTTTCAGAAACAAACCTGAGGAAGATAGTGACATTTTCCAAAGTAGCCGACCAGCATCATAACCTCGCTTAAGTAATGAAGAATTCAGACTTGTAACAGAAGAATATTAAATGTGGGAGCAGCTATTTTTACAATGTTTAATGTAAAATGTCTATCAATCTTATATTGATTATGTCTAATGTTAAATACAATACATCAAGATTATTTCTGAAAATGTAAATAGAGCAGGAATCAGAAAGAGTGGATTTATCAGGATTATGTTTTATATTTGTCGTGCCTTTATTCCCCAGGAAAAACATAAAACTCTCTGCAGCTACAGTGTCTACTTGACTGCCTGATGATGATTAACATTTAAGAATTTGCTCTGGGGGAAATAAGGTGGAAATTTAAATAGTGTTGCAATTTGCCATTAGTGCTGTCTTTCACTGTCTATTTCCAAATGAGGACACAAGTAAAAGATAGTGGGGAAATCGCATGGACTATATAATATTCAGTGCAACCCTCTTCCTCTCATTGATTCTGTAGGTACACGCTGGTTTAACTGCAGAGATGACTTTGTTTTCAAGCTGTTAATCTTTAAAGAAACTTTAAATCTTCCTTATTTAGCAAATATTCCTATAGTCTTTGGATGCAAAGTGTCTACATGTACATGTAGACACAGAGTTATATTTTATACTCATCAAACAGAATATCAATCCATTCCGAGTTGCAGAGTCACATCCTCTAAGAAAGCATTGATTCTCCTGATTGCTGATAATATACATCCCTCCTCCCTTGATGGATTATACCATCTAGTCCCTTTACTTTTGAACCCCAGCAAAGGGTCTACTATCCTATGAGATGAATCTAATTAAATTTTAGGGCATACTCAAGTGCTAGAAATAAACAAAAGTAAGACAAGAGCTCACGTATAATAACAATAGTAATCCCCACAGCAGTCATTTAAATTAATGTTTGTAATCAAGCAACGTAAACACCATAATACAAAGGCAGAACTAAAATCAGCATTCCACCCTATAAAACAGAGGGTGAGGGAGAATGCTGGTAATATTGACAAAGATACTTTTACTTTACCCATGTAAACATCAGACTGTCTTGTTCTCCCTAGGCTTGCTTTTCATTCTTTGGTATGACAGTTCTGATTCCTCAGCCTCCCCATGAAGAAAAGAAAAATTCTCTTGAAGCTGAACTAAATTCATCAGCAAATGAAATTATATTCATTTGATAAAATGCTAAATGGAAAAGGCAGGTTTATTTTAAGCCGTCAACAGGCTGTTTTAGTTAATCATGCACAGTGCAGAAGACAGGAGTTTGGTTGCTAAGAAAATGTTTGGCATGTTTCCATGAGATCCATGTGACATGAAATGCATCTGTTCATTTCAATAGTGAAATAGAAAAAAATAAAATAAACAGTGCAGGGTATATTTGGTGAGTCACTGTGGAACACAAGGCCGAAATAACTTCTGTGTTGTCAGTTTATTCTATACAATCTTATTGTTATGACGTTAGCCTTTTCTTATAATTCAAAAAAATTTAATAGTGATTTTTTTTTAGAAAATTAATACATATTCGTTGTAGATAAATCAGAAAATACAAAATAAGAAAATTAAAATCTGCCATAACACACACAAATACCAATATCTATATTGGTATGTGCATAGGAGGGGCTTAATATTTATTTGCTAAATGAATTAATATATATTTTACTTATAAATATGCGATCATACTGTAATACTTTTATAACCTGCTTTCTAAATTAAAAGACATCATGAACATTTTCTGTGTTATTAAGTATTCTTCTTTAGCATAATTGTAATAGTTTTCATTATTATGGACCCAGTAAGTTATCTGGAACTCCTGCAAAATTTCTTCAGTAGCCAGGAACTGAATGCAAGCGTCTTCCCAGTAAGACATACCGTGATGCTGATACGATGAAATCTGAACATGTTCAACATTTTTTTGCTGAGATGTCATACATATTCTCTGATTACTGAGCTAGTAAATGGAATCTCAGCTGTCCTGATTGTGTGTAATTCCGTCATTTCTACCACCAGATAGTGACCATCACTGCTTACATAGATAACATGCCATTCACATCCAAGTGTACTAATGTGAGAGAGAATGGCCAAAGATAGCAATGAGCTTGACACACCCTTGCACGCTATTGTGGTCCTCAGAGTGAAGTAAGAATGACTATTGACTTCCACAACATCTTCAAGGTTGCTGCTGTGAACAAAGAGGCCAAACAGGAGAGTATTAAGTCACCACGTGGAAGAATATGTTGATTAATGAAGCTCTTAATTACATAGTCCAAAACGCTGAGAAGTTCAACGCACACACAGAAAAGGAGAAGCAGAGAAACATAGTTGGTATCTCCTAAGAACTCTAAGAACTCACTTAAATCCACAGTCTTCACTAAGGACAAGGTGGAAAATAAGAAAATTTAAGGTCAGAACAATGATGGAGGGCAAACACAAGATTCTTGAAGATTCAATAAAATCATTAGCTAGCAGAGCAAGAACCAGCCTGCTGAGAAGAAGAATCTGCGTATCAGCAGAAAAGCTGGAGAAGTCTGCAAGATCATCACCACAAGCTGTTATCAAGGAGCTGAAGACATATCAAGAGAAACAGCTTACCAGGGGCAGAGCTCCTCTGTCACAAAGTGCCTCATCTGAAGCCACTATTAAAGCGGGTGACCATGCTGACCAGAAAGAAAGCACATTTCACAGACCTGCTGTAAAGTTTAAATATGTGACTAAGTCAGTTCAGTGGCAGTTTAAAACATATTTAAACATAAATTAAGCTGTAGATAAATAGATCAGAAAATGTGTAATAGCTCAAACAAAATAGAAGTTTATTTATTGCTCACTTAACAGTTGGAGGCAGGTGTTTCCTGGTTGGTGGACGTTTCTTCTCCACTTAGCAACTCAGGGACACAAACTCATTTTGCCTTCTCTTCGTCGAGGCTTCATATTCATCATCCACCTCCAGTCAGTGAAAGGAAAATGAGAGCTTGGAGGTGGCACACCTCCTTCTTTAAAGCTTTGTCCCAGAAATGGTATTCATTACTAGAACTCAGTCATGTGATCTAACTGCAGGAAGGCTGGGATATGTAGTCCAATTGTGTACTCAAGAACAGAAAATGGTTTGGTATGGAGGGGAGAAATAACAACCATTATCTGAGGTTGCTTAAATTTGGTCATATTTTGAATACTTTAGTACACTCTGGCAGTGCTGTAAACAAGCAAAAACTGAAATCCGGCACCCGGATTCTGATTGCCACCAACTTCGTGTAATTTTTTTAAGGTATATAAAATTCATGTGTCGATGAATAAGGATCCATTTTAAATTGATACTATAAAAAACAAGTGGAATTTCTGGGTCAAATGTCCATACAGAATTCTATGGCTTTTCGTTAAGTCATATCTAATTGACCTTGAGAAATTGTTCAATTTACATTCTTACCTGCAGTAGGTGAGAGTAGTTGCCTTCTGTGCTGTCATCCACATCACTGTTAACACTGTATACAGCATTCACATTTTAAAGTTTTTAAGAGACACATTATGATATGATAACTGAGAGCACACACCCTAGAGCCATACTGCCTGGATCCGAATTCCACCTTGTCCTTGTTCTTGAGACCAGAAAGGTCTCAGTTTTCTTATCAGCAAAATAGGGTAATAATAGTACCTACTTCATTAGGTAATATTCATCTTTGTGAGGATTAAAGGAGTTAATATGTAAAATGTCTTGAATAGCACCTGATGCATAATGTCTAATGTCCTATGTTTGCTGTTATCATTTTTAATCTGTCATACATCTTATAAGTATCTGATGCATAATAAGTCTTACGTTTTTTCTGTTGTCATTTTTAATCTGTCTTATATGTTACAAGCATTTTCTTCTGCATATTGATTGTCTTTTGGCTTTATTTATAAAGCATTGCTTTTCATACAGACTTTAAAATGCTTTTATGCGGTAAACAGTATCTAGACTTTCCTTTATAGCTTTTGTACTTCCAATTGTATCTTGTAAAGGTCTATCTCTCCCTCTTTTTTCAAGTCATTCATGTCATGTATATGTTTTTTAAATTTTTTCTTACTGTCTTAGTCTGTTGGTATTGCTATAAAGGAATATGGGAGGCTGGATAATGTATAACAAAAAGAGGTTATTTGGCTCATGGTTCTGGAGGCTGTACAAGAAGCAGGGCACCAGCATCCGCTTCTGGTTAGGGCCTCAAGGAACTTCTACTCATGGTGAAAGATAGACAGGAGCAGGCATCACATAACAAGTAAAAGGAAGAGCTGGAGGAGAGAAAGGTCCCAGGCTCTTTTTAACAATCAATTCTTGTGTGAACTGGTCGAGTGAGAACTCACTCACTACTACTTGGATGGCATGAAACCATTCATGAGGGATCTGCCCCAAGACCCAAACACCTCCCACTAGGACCCACATCCAACATTGGAGATCAAATTTCAACATTAGATTTGGAGGGGACAAATATCCACACTATTTCACTTGTTTTCAATTGTTACTGAAAGCATAGTTTTTGGTGATTGTTTTGAAAAAGTCCTATCATTCTTTTTCCTTAAAGTTTCTACGTTAGGGGTTTGCTTAAAAAAACCCTTGCCACCCATTTGCAGTTTAATTAATTTACTAACAATTGATATAAGTAGAGATATAACGTTGCTTTCTAAATTGTTTTCTAATTATCCCATCATCGTTTATTATTCTGTGCTCTGATTAAAGGGGCTCGTTGAAGGTTAGTATCTCCCTCATTCATCAGAGGTTGACTTGACTGAAGCCACATTCCTTGTTTTGTTTTAGAGTCAGTTAAGAGAGAGGTCTGTATGCACAGGCAACTCTCAATTACCAGCCCATAGATAACCCACTTTGGAGATCAATGAAATAAAAAACCAGACTGAAAAAATCATCTCAGCCTGGGCTCTTCACACTGCTTTCTACTGGGCTCTGCTCAGAAATGCCAGCTAACTTTAACTTTACATATGTCAGCTCAGAAGAACGATTTTTTAAAGGTATATAAATGTTTTACAGAGCTAATTACAAGTGAGTTTGGAAATTTCTGCCATCTAGCTATCTGTGCATTATGCTCTTCAATGATTACGAGTAATGGAAAGCTGAATGTTGTTTTTGAAAAAATGAAAACCACATGTCATTCCCGGAATCAGACACTGCTATGATTTTATAGAATGAAATCAGAAGACAGAAGGGACTCAAGGAAATTTAACAGAAACAAGTCACCCAAAGTAGACATAGATTTTTGACTCTGAAATGTAGAATTAGTCAATCAACAGCCCATAAAACTTTTTCTATAAGACCCCTCATTTTCATGGAGGGCTCAAGTATTCATGAGTATTCTACGAAAAAGCAGTTCAAAGAATCTCAGATGTCATCACAGCTTTTTTTAAATCCAAAATATCTTAACAAAGGTATGGACCTTGGACTTTGAAACCTAATCTTGGCTTGACACGGGGGCTCACGCCTATAATCCCGGCACTTTGGGAGGCCGAGGTGGGTGAATTACTTGAGGCCAGGAGTTCAAGGCCAGCCTGGCCAACATGGCTAAACCTCATCTCTACTGAAAATACAAAAATTAGCCAGGTGTAGTGGCATGCCTGTAATCCCAGCTACTCAGGAAGCTGAGGCATGAGAATTGCTTCAATCTGGAAGGGGGAGGTTGCAGTGAGCCAAGACTGTGCCACTACACTCCAGCCTGAGTGACAGAGCAAGACTGTATCTCAAAAAAACAAAACAAAACAAAACCCAAAAAACAAAAAATCTGGTCTTAAAATAATCATCACTCAGTTATGATTTACATCAATGCTTCTCAAACTATCTAAGGTGAAGAACCGGGGTTTTTCCCCATCAGAAAAGGAATAGTTCTGTGAAATATAATATAAATTGCTAGAAAAGTGAAATGAAAATATAAACAAATATAAAAGAAGCCCATTTGTTTATTATTAGATTTAGCAAACATAAAATTACTATGTCAAATTGCTAAAACAGTTTGTGAATCTAACTTTTAATTTCTGCTTTTATTTCATTGACCACCTAGTAGCAGTCAGCAGGCTGATGTGGGTCCACGTACCACACTTAGAGCAGCACTATTCCATGCCATTTCTGGCCCAAACCAATGCATTTTTCAAAGCTAAAAGCTCCTATGACATTAGAGAATGGCGAAGAAAAAAAGCAATTTAACTGTTGCATATGTAACTAGAACAAATGTTACAACTTCTTTATTCCTGTGATCTTGTTGTAGAGTTTCCAAAACATGTCTTTTGACCTGATACTTGGTTCTGAATTGATAAAATTATGATACACTTGGAATCCCTCACTCTGTAAGTAATGTCTAAATCCTAAAGTGCTGCTTGTATAGCATATTCCCTTTTCCAACTGTAATTTATTCAATATTTGTTTTCTACGTCTAATAACTTTTTAAAAAAACATTCAATGCCCATGAATTTAGTGCCATGTGGGATGGTACGTTCCATGAAGCTTTACATTCTGGTTTTACTCCAAGTAAGAATTCTCCGGGTTCCCTTTGTTCTATGGTTTCCTAAATTAGGAACTCTTGGCCTCTTAGGCACTGTCTCAGGCTTTCTCTTAAACACTGAAAGGACTCCTTGGACTCAAATAAGAGCATTCATGGAGATCATTTTACCAACTTCCTTTCCTCTACCCTTACTCCTGCCCTTTCAGCATCTTTTGTTTTGTTTCTGATGTATACCGTTCAGTATAATTAGACTGGGGAGGGTACTAATAACCAGAGTTATGTTATCAAACTGTGGGGAGCTCCATTTCTTGACTGTTCTTCAAAAATGTGAACTTAATCTTCTCAAGAAAAGAAGCATCCATTGTTATGCAGTTTATTTTATGCTATGATAACTGCATTTTACTGTTTAGACTTCAAATAGAAATTTTCTTCAGCAGTATTGCTTAATGTAACAAAATATTGGCCTTTAGAATATCTTTAAACATTTGTAGAGATGGAAAAAAATTAAACCATTTATTCACCTAGGGTATAGTTCTTTCAACCACCTTTGATTAAAACATGTTTAGAAAAAGTCAGTTATGGTTAATATAGTAGGTAAAAGAATTAAGCAAAATTTTAGTGTCAAGTGTTCAGTAAAATGTCATTGCACACTGTTGATTTTATCACAATCTATCTTAGCTCACTGACCTTACCGACAGCTCTGTCTTAGCATTAACCTAGTAGCTGACCTTGTTTTTTGTTAATTGCCATCCTCTTTCACTCCTTAAATTTGTTATACTCTTATTTTAAAAAAGAAAAAACCTGCTAATGTAAAGGTTCACATTTACCCAATAGATACCACTCTGAGTGCATTTATATGCTAATCAAAATATATACTAAGCATGGTTATACATATTAACAGCAACTATAAATAGATAATTTCTAAGCCCTACCCTACATAAGTGTTAATTACTCACCAGAAGGATAAATTCCATTAATAGTCTTAAGAGTTTCTCTGGCCGGGCACGGTGGCTCACCCCTGTAATCCCAGCTCTTTGGGTGGCCGAGGCAGGTGGATCACCTGAAGTCAGGAGTTGGAGACCAGGCTGGCCAGCATAGTGAAACCCCGTCTCTACTAAAAATACAAAAATAGCCAGGTGCAGTGCTGCATGCCTGTAATCCCAGCTACTCGGGAGGCTGAGGCAGGAGAATCACTTGAGCCTGGGGGCGGAGGTTGCAGTGAGCTGAGATTGTGCCGTTGCACTCTAGCCTGGGCAACAAGAGCGAAACTCTGTCCAAAAAAAAAAGAGTCTCTCTTGGTCTGCTTCAGAGAAAAGATTGTAACAGCTGGAAGAAAGAAAAGTATCTGAATATCCAGAAACAAGGCTTTCCCCTGGGATGGGGAGAGAGGATGAGAAGACCATGGTGGAGTCGACCACACATGCCTGGATCTATTAATTAGTAAAACTTGGCTCCAATGTCAA